ACCAAAAAAAAAAAAAAAAAAAAAAAAAAAAGGTCGCGATCGCGATCTCCGAGGCAATTCGGCGGACGGTCCTCACTCCACTGGGAGCAAAGGACCTCCGCCGAATTGCCTCGGAGATCGCGATCGCGACCTTTTTTTTTTTTTTTTTTTTTGGCTGCTTGGGGTGGCCAAAACCCTGGAGCCGGCCCTGCCGGCACCTACTGCTCTCTATAAGCACCTGCCAGGGCGACGGGGGACGGGGCCAGGTAGTTGGTCAATAAACCGTCATGTGGGTACTGGCGGGAGCCCCAGGCACGGAGGAGGAAGGAGTGTGGGGGGGGTGGATTTCACCCGGGGCTGCGGTTGCTGAAGACCAAACCAGGCTCGTGCAGCAGGGATCAGGGATCTGTAGCAGTACCAGGGCCGACAGACTGCGTCCGAGGGGGAGGGAGCGATTCTGGCCTGGCAGCGTGATCCCGGGGGCAGAACCTTCATCCCAACCTCTGCAAGGCTGGGCACAGAGCACTGCCCGGCCTGGAGAGCTGGGGAACGCCGCACCGGGGGGACAGCACTTCAGCCACCATCTGTGCCACCATTTCCCGCTCCGACCGATCCAGACACGTTGTGTGCCCCAGCTCCCGCTGCAGTAAGGCAGGGCCTATAGGTCCCAACCAACATTAGTCCCGTGTCGGGCCGGGCGCTGCCCAGACACACAGTGACCGAGATCAGGGCCCCATCGCGCCGGGCGCTGCACAGACACAGAGTGACCGAGATCGGGGCCCCGCCGGGCCAGGCGCTGCCCAGACACACAGTGACCGAGATCGGGGCCCCGCCGGGCCAGGCGCTGCCCAGACACACAGTGACCGAGATCGGGGCCCCGTCGCGCCGGGCGCTGCACAGACACACAGTGACCGAGATCAGCACTAAGAGCAGACAAGGCAGCATGTGAATTCAGCAGACCTCAATGCTACTTATAAAGAAAGACCAGAGCACGGTCTGGTCATGGGCACCAGGTTTGTATAATTTTTGATGGTGCCCAGAATGGGTCCAAGCAGAGCCGTCCCGTCCATAGGACGGACTGGGGCAACCGCCCCAGGACCCGTGCTTTGGGGGGGCCCCGCTCTTCATGGGGATGCGATGTCCTAGGCGGCCTGAGGAGTTAGTGGGGGGGTCTGGCCCCAGTCCGCCCTCTCCGCTCTGCCCCGCTGGCCCACGGCGTCACTTATTGGAGGGGATGGAAGCTGGAAAGAGGCAGGGCAGGGGTGAGGGCTTGGGGGAAGGGGTGGAATGGGGGCGGAGCAGGGCTGAGAAGAGGCAGGGCGGGGCTTGGGGGAAAGGGCAGGGCGGAGCGGGGCGGGCTGGGGCCAAGTCGCTCGCTGCTGTTGGCTCCAGGCCCCCCGCTAGCCCCCCAGGGTTGCCCTGGTCCGTCCTCTGGATAAATATAAACCCAAACATTGGTGGAGCTGGGCCCACGTTCCTGAATATTGGTGGAGCACGGGCACCTATGGGTCTGGTGACAAAGACCCTCGGCCAGGTTCATTGCCCTGAAGGTGCAGTCCTAGTGTCCTGGCTCCGTGGTTACAGGTTCACTAACACGAGTGCCCCGTGGCAAGGAGCGGCTCAGTCAGCGACGGGAGTCACCGCTGTCCCCTAGGCCACACACAGACTGACGGTGAGGTACCCGAGAGTAATAGACCGAGACAAGCAGCTTCCATCCCACCTTCCGTGTGTCACCACATTCACCTGTCACCTCCCCTGGGGCCTGAGATCTTGGACAAAACACCCCCTGTTTATTATTTTCTCCAACCATCTTATTTTGCACTAAATTGAATGTATTTGTCCCACCTACGCTATATTTACGTAAATCTCTAGTGCCTAGGACACTAGCGACAACGTTGCCAAGTACGTGAACTGCACAGCAAACCTGTCAGCATTTGCTCTAACCCATGGCCTGACTTTGGTTCACAGCCTCCGGTTCAGGCCTCAAATCTTGCCCCAGCCCCAGTGCTCCAGGCTCTCTGTGCTACCCCGGTCGCTGCACAGACACACGGTGCCCGAGATCGGGGCCAGGGAAGGGATCTGAGCCCACAGCTCCCACCTAGTGGTCAGGGGAGGGCATGACAGGCGCTCTCTGTCCTGGTGCCCCCTGTTGGTAGCCGCTCCCACCCTGTGCTGTCTGTCCCCTCCTGTCTCGCCCTCCGGCTGGGTCACAGGCTGTGTCCAGCCCCTCTGGGGTATGTAAAGGGTCCAACAAATGCTAGTTCTGCTGCCTGGCAAAGGGCTTTGGGCATCACCCGGCCAAAACCCCAGAGTCGGGACTCTCTGGGATGGGGGATCTCCCTAGTCCTGAGTCACTAGTGTCAGGGACAGGCCGTGTGCCTCCAGCCCTGACCGGGGACCCCTGGCCCACCCTCTTCCCCGGGCTCCAGCAGGGCCCCAAGGCTGACAGCTGAGCCCTGCCCGTGGAGAGCTCTGTGTCACCCCCCACCACACACACCCTCCCGGGTCACTTCCCGCCGGTCTCCCCAAGCCAGAGGGAGAAGCAAAGACCGGAACAAACCTGAGGAGACGTCTCTGACCCTGCAAATGCCCAGAGTCCTTCCCCTCAACAGCTCTGGTAGCGCATCAGCTGGGCCTGCCGCCGGCTCCTTCTGCAGAGCTGCCGATCCCAGCCCTGCTCACCTCCGCTGGCGCCTTTCAAGGGAGCTGCTCTCTGCTCCCTGCCAAGCTCCTCCTCCGGCCGGGCAGGGCCCTGCGGGTGGGGCAGGGCAGAGCTGCCAGGGGTGGCCCATCATCTACATTGTATTTCTCAAACAAGGGGTGTTTCCTTAGCATCCCCGCCCCACCCCATCTCCTGAGATTATCAGCAACATCACCGAGATGCAGGACTCACCTACCTTCGCCGGGCGTCTTTCTTGCTGCTTTTCGCAGCACTCAGCAGCTCCCGGTCTTGTTGGACGGAGATGGAAAGATAAGGGACGTCCCTTGTAATAAGGGACTGTTGGCAAC